GCATTCCAAATATTGAAAATAGATTTATGAAACATTTAATCAAAGGCCCTGTAGTCATATCAGGGCAGGCGTAAGCAAAAGGGAATCTTGAGAATTCATCTACAATTGTTAATAGGGAACGATTTGTTGAGGATGTTGGAAGAGGACCTTTATAATCAATGTTGGGCTTTTCAAATGGTCTGATTTTATTAGTATTCCTTGATTTTTACTGAACGTCGGCTTGAGCTCTCTGCAAATAGTGCAGGCTGTGGTCATTTTTCGTACATCATCTATAGATTAAGGTAAATTTTGAGATCGAATCCACTGAAACATTCTAGTTATTCCAGGATGACAAAGTGCTACATGTAACTCGTATGATTTATTCTCAGTTGAAGCTCCACATACCCGAGATAAAGTATCTGCTACGATATTCTCATTTCCTGGATGGTAGACTATGTCATAAGAATAGAATAAAAGTTCGAGTCTCTAGCGTTGAATTTTTTCATTTTTTATTCTACTACTATGCTTCGTGTTGGACATGAATGAGACCGATCTTTGATCTGTAATCATCTTGAAATGCCTTCTACAATTGCTAGTGCTTCTTTTTCAACTGCTGAGTGGTTTTGTTCACTATATGATAGAGTTTTCGAGAAAAACTCAACTGGTCGTCCAGACTGGCTCAGAATTGCTTCTATTGAATGTTCGGAGGCGTCTGTTTCCACCACAATGAAATGTTATGTGCGTTTTTATTCTTATCAAATTTTACCGATGGATCCACCATTCTATGTCGGTCATTGTCATTTTCCATTCACTAAACAAAGATAGCTTACTCATCGGTGAATTCACCGATGAGAATAAAAACGAGGGGGTTTTCTTCAATGGCCGTGACAGCTGATTTGATTGATGTCATTTTGACTTTTATCTTAAAAAAAAAAACACACTTTACTAACAATTGTATGAATTTTCTTGGAGAATCTAGGTATCCATTTAGAGTAATGAGCGAACATGCCCACATCTCTTTGATGTGAAGCTTTATCAGTTGGTACTGGCAGATTCTGTAGCGGTTCAAGTCTTGCAGGATCAAGTTTAAGTGTTCTGCTTCCTATAAGATATCCCAGTAGTTTAATTGTCTTTTTCTTGAACGAACTTTTACTTTTATTTATAGTTAGGTTGTACTTTGAGGAAAACCACATATTTAAAATATTATTTTTTCAAATTTTAACTTAAAAAAAAAAACGTTTACTATAGAAAAAAGCAAATCGTAAATGTTGCAACCTTGTATCAACTTTGTATGCGCTGTCAACCAGGGACGAACGAAGGCGCGCTACAAGGTACCGAAGCGAAGGAGAGACAGAGATTGGGAGACTAAGAAGAAGGTTATCCGCCATCTTTCATTATTCAATTTTTTTTGTATTAAGCTGGGTATTGATTTTTAATTTTGTATCAAACTGGTTGTTCAATTCAATTTTTGATTAGTTTGTGTGTCATAAGGAGCGATCACAGGTCAAATGAATAAATGTTATTTTGTTTTTGAGCATGTGCATTATGTGCATTGTTCATGTACTTAACAAAAATCGTTTCATGCTGTGAACAAAGCAGATGAAAAGTAAATTAAAACCAACGAAATTATGTGCTTTCTTTTGTGCTGGGATTTTAATTTTTGGTGTTCAGAATGTGCATTACGTGCCTTGTTGAATCTACTAACCTTTTCCTACTCTGACGAGTGAATATCCTAGCAAACAAAGCAGAGAGATATTGGCTCAAAGTAACAACTATATTTGAGTAGCATCCCGTACGAGACCTCAGTACCTGCTGGTGAAACTGGCTAACAAAAAACTCTTCAGTATTGAATATAGGTAGTATTGATTGAATTTAGTGTGTGGAATTAAAATTTTAGCACAAGGACAGGGTCGGTACCTGATTTAAACTTTTACTGACTTGAATGATTGACTCTCAATTAATTATTAAAATGACACAGTATGTTTTGATTTTTGAGGAATGTTAGTTCGAGGATTTCTCTGCCGTACTCTTTCCCCTCGTTAGTTCCAGGTACGATTTACTTTAATAATAAAGTAAGTAGACGTTTCATAAATTTTCCGTTTATTTCACATATCACAACTTCCCTAATTTTGCTAGTATCGGGCGCATGTTCAATAAAGAAAATTGAGTAAGTTTCCACAACGTAGGTCCTATTTGCTTTTCATTTCGTTTTTCATAGGATTTGTTAATAATAAAAATTATCACCGTTCAATCTTGCTGAACAAACCCGGATATGTTATACTACAACTTTTTACCAGCTGTCAGAAAAGCTGATAGATTCTTATTGTGTTTTTCTTGATTTTTTTCCACAAATTGTTATATCATCGAGATATACGTAGACGCTTTCTAGATTCTCTTGCCTGATTATTGTATCTATGACTCTATCTATGATAAGCGTCAAGACAAGTAAACTTGTTGATTGTTTGAGAATAGTCAACAACCATTCTCTTTTTATGATTTTCGTTCTTTGTCACAAGAACTTATGCTCAGCAGGTAGACGTGCTTTTCTAAATTATACCTTCTAAAAGAAGCTTTTGTACTTCACTTGAAATAAATTTGGCATCATCATGTGAAAATGTTCTCGATTTTGTAGCGATTGGTTTACATTGCGATGATAGCAGAAGCTAGAGAATAATGCTTTGCTTCAAGTACAGTCATTTTCGTCCTCCAAAATAAACGGTCAACATTATATGTTGCTTAAAAATGTCATGACCAACGATAATATCAGAACGGAGGTCTGGTAGAACCGAAACTTTCACGTTTGCATACTGATGATCAACAATCTTGAGGTTGATAACACAGAGTCCTTTGATTTGTGCACGCAGAGAAGTTTAAGCCACAGACCGTAGCCTTTACTTGGATGAATCGGGAGATTATTGAATAAAACAAAAAATGACTCATTCAAGAGAGCTGCCAGTATCTATTAACGCATCTGCCAATAACTGATTGATTTCTACTGGCACCGCAGTTTTTAATAAACTTCCAGGAACAGAAGTCAATGTTTGAGACTTTAGATGCAGCTGCACATCGATTTGAACTTCGACAAACAGTCGAGAAATGTCCTTTTTCAATGCATTTTGTTTGAATGTAGCATGCAGGGCAGGACAAACTGAGTGATCATGTCTTCTATTTCCTAATAATGGCATGTAGAAAATTTCCCGGTAGCACTCAAAACAGTGTATCTTTGTTGCTGCACTTGAGGATTTTCCGCGTTACTGGAATTGATGAAATTTGCTGAAGCTGTTTGGTATACCCCAAAATGTTTTTGAGCAGATTCAAAAGACAAAGCTTGTGATGTTTCATCTAAAGTTAGATTACTTTTTTCCAAGAGGCGTTGACGAATTTCATCTGACAATAAGTCTTTAATGAATGCATCTCTAATGGAAAGTTCGCAATGTTCTTTGGCAGTTACGTTTTTGAAGTTACAATCTTTGCTGAGCTGATTCAAAATTTGAATGTACTGGCTCATGTTTTCTCCATGTCCTCGTAGAAATAATATTTCTTGAAAATGTTTGATGTTGTGGTTTTATGTAGATGTTATCTGAGATACTCACAGCATCAGCGTAGGTTTTTGCTTCAGAAACGTATTCGAACTGGTTGTGACTTACATAGTTTGTGAGCAGTTGCAGCTTTTGTGCGTCCCCTATGTCCTTTACTGATGACATGGAGTTCTGGAATGTAGTTTTCCATTGACACCATTCCTTCGCTGTATTTGATGAGCTGGGATCAGTATCAAATCTTCCAGGTCTCAGGAGCTTGTCCATAAAGTCGATTAAATTGTAGTATAGCAAATACCCCAGAAATAGGGCTTTAATCGACAAAATTGAGCATAAGATTAACTTGACAAAATAATTAATAACACAATCTTGAATTTGAATGACACACAAATACAGGTAGACATGATATTAAAACACCCACACATGGTATGGCTTGTCATACTCATAGTTGTATACGGAGCTGCAATATTGTGGACAAAAGCACAACAACTAACGACGATCAATAAACTGAACTGCCTTCAGAGACTGGCATGTCTGTGCATCACCGGGGCTACGAGAAGCACACCTACTGCAGCGCTAGAAGCAATTCCAAAATGGCAGCAATAGCTATCGCCCACCCGATGAGGGCTGCCAAGGCAAGGAAAGAAACATCCACACAAAGGCTATCGACCTGATGGACAATAATATAGTGGAATTGCAAACGGATCAAATGGTGGTAAGTCATAAGATTGAAAACCATTCAGTCATATGCGACCCAAGCATATGGCAGGAAGGAACATCTCACATAATAAAAAGATGCCGTATATAGAGAAAGACCAACATCAGAACAAAGCATCCCTTTCGGGCCAGGTTTATAACAACCAGAACATAGGCATTCCCGCAGACAGTCAGGCGGCGGCTGCTCTAAAAGCTCTGAACTCACTTTGATTTACTTCGGAGATAACGATGGAATGCCTACACGATCTGGAAGCTCTGTCGTTTAGGAATAATTGGATAAAGCTCCTGTGGGCATTCGGGGATAGAAGGCAACGAAAAGGCTGACGAACTGGCCAGAGCGGGCGCAGCTGCACCTTACACAAGACCGGAACCCACATTTGGGATATCGAAGCAGGTTATAAAGACAACAGTTGAAAGGTAATCGACCCACAAACACCTCCATTTTTGGCGGTCTACACCTGGAGCAAGACACTCGGAAGGGATAATTGGAAACCCCTGAAAGATGCTAACAGGTGGAGTATCTACTGTCACTAATGCATACTCATGAAATGGAGCCAATGGAGATATACTTTTCAGGCCTTTGAATTATACAAAATTTAAACCCCACAAAAAGCTCCCAAAACCTTGACTTAAATATGCTTGTATAGTTTGTGTTTCCTATTCGGAGCACTATATAAATAGTAACACATATCGCAAGTAAACATCCATTGTTCTATATTTGTTCAATGAATATGTTATAAATTTATACTAAATAATTCAACATTGTTTCAGGAAGTGCAATCGAACACATATGTGAAGAAACAAACGAAGAGGTAACACTTGATAGGACCCTTCTAATTCGAGCTGCCAAATGTCTTTTAGCTGCCATCACTAGAGTATTACTTTTAGCGGACATTGTAGTCGTCAAGCAACTTCTTTTAGCAAAAGATAAGGTAGGAACTTACTTTAATTTTCATTTGCCTTCCATATTCTTCTTATACATCCTTGAAATTAGCGTGCTATGCAAGTAACTTTGACTCAAAAATCTTGTATCGCAATCTAAACTCTTGACTGGCTACTTATATGATGCATGAGAGATTACAAAATTTAATAGTATACTCGTGTGAAAAACAATGAGTGAAAAATTACAGTAAAGCACATTTTAATTAATTTAAGGCCGCGTTAATGGCCGCCATGTTCAAATTTAGTTTTTGAAAATGACGACTGCGTCACTCTACACATAGGGTACCAATATTTTATTATTTGTCCAAAACAAAATCTGTTTGTCGGTGGAACACTTCGTGACAGAGAAAGACAAATAGGTATACAATTATGATGCTTCCAATGTAGCTTTTTTGCCGTAGCGCCATCTACTTGAAATGGCTTGAACTGTTTTCACCTTCAAAATTCGTTTGAAGGTCATCTCAAAAAATCCGCAATAATTTCCAAAATCCTTTGGCATAAACACTATTTGTTATATTATCTACAATCTCTACAATTAGCTTTTTTTTTAGTTTTTCGTGGTTATCAATAAAATATGCTTTTCACGGATCCAAGCTTGATAAGCATGCAAATATGCAACCACCAACACATTTAATTGTTTTGGTGATTGCGAACGTGATTTTTGAATTTAAAAAAAAGGCTGAATATCGAAACACCAAAATAAGGAATTGTAGATAATCGATCAAATAATGTTTATGCCAAATTTGAGCCAATTTTGATGTGCCGTTTTTTTAAAGACCTTAAAACAAGTTTCAGAAATCAACCAATCACAGTTTAAACATGGCGGCCATTAACGCGGCCTTAAAAATGACAAACATGATATTAAAACCACAAAATCAACAGTTAAAATAGTATTTACGTACCCACTGCATTCTTATATTTTTCAATTATACACTTAAGCCTCTCCTAGCAAACCTGAAACGTTTTCAGTTTTAGTGCCAGGCTCAACTTTAACACATTCAACTTTTCCTAATTGCTCCTCCTTTGCCGGTGCTAGAACTTACTCCTCGGCTTCAAGACTGCATAATTAGAAGTCAGCAACTAGGTCCTTCAGTTTATTAGTCGACATTTGAAACGCCTCCGGCTTGGAGATATTTATTTTAATTTTGACTGAATACTTTGTGAGGTTTTGCCACAAAACTTTAAAATTAGTAGTCCTTCGTTTGTTCTAGGTTTCACATAGTTTAGATCGTCTAGGATCGGTGAATAATTTCACTGAATTCGTGAAGGCCTTTAGTCAATTCGGCGCCGAAATGGTCGAATTGGCTCATCTGACTGGTGATAGACAAAATGATTTGAAAGACGAGAGGAGAAGAGCGCAGATGGCCGCTGCTAGGCAGGTTTTAGAGAGATCGACGATGATGCTATTAACATCCAGTAAGGTGGGTTAATCGATTCCTTATTTTTGAATTTTCTTAGATAATATGATCTATAGGCAATTACTGGCTCTGGAAGGTAGAAAATACTAATAGTTTATAACATATTATAAAGCTGCTGTTCTGCTGAAGGTCGGCAAAAATTAAACTGGCAACATATACTCTGGCTTAATAAGCTTCTCTAAGAATAAATCAACCATCTGGACTTGAATTCTTCTAAATAAATTATTTATTACCGACACGCCTTTTTTGAAGCTAATTTAATTTTCTCCTAAAATATAAAGTATATTTCCCAGTCATCCTGTCTTTTTCTTCTATATTCAACAGATATGTCGGTTGTTCTCTGAGCCTTGTGATTATTAGTCATTTTGCTCCCTTCTACGGTATTTCGTATGCCCTGCCGAAACTATAATCCAGATTTTCTATTAAATAAACGTTGGGAGTCAGGAAAAGCAATCTGTGACAGATGTAATCAACGAAAGGAACTCCATAAATTAGTCTTTATGATTGACTTGTGCTTTCAATAAGAAACACTGTATAAGATATTTTCTGTAATTTCGGGAAATCTAAATATTTTACCACTCAATAATTAATAATGTAAATATGCCCCAAGTTGATCTGACAAGTTTACTTATTGATGGAAGTAAACAAGGGATTAAATAATTTATTTTGCTCCCTTGAGATTGAAAGATCCACTTTAGTCTCTATGTGAACAGCTTATTCCCGAGAAATTATTGGTTTAAATAATTCCGAAACTCTCAAGTCAACAAGTGAATTGTAACTGATTCTCAATCTAGGTCAAACCTGACTAAATTTCAAACTACTATCTTTTTTTTTCCTATTAAAATTCAGACGAGTTTAAGACACCCCGACAGTGCTCCAGCAAGAGAAAACAGGGACACGGTGTTCTGCCAGATGCGAAGGGCTATGGATCTCATCCATTATGTCGTTAAAGATGGGGTCTTGAACAATGGCGTTTCCGGCTCACATTCGCACCGGGAGGAGCTGGAAAATGATCGAGGGACGGCGTACGCTTGTATGCGACATTTGCAAAAATTGTTGGAGCATAGTAAAGTAACGATCGGTAAGGAAACTTTTTATTATTATTTTGGGAGTTAAATAATCGAATATTACATCAGGAAATAAATTGAAGATTGCAGGCAAGTTTTTTATGCTAAACGATGCACCAGAAGATTTTCATTTATCATAAGCCTCTAACTAAAACCCAAATAGATTCAATAAAATATCTCAATATCAATTTTATTCAAGTTTGCAAAATAAGTTATTGTCTGGCTTTATGATATTAAAGAATCCACCCTTCCTTATCTCAGTTTCCAGTCGTTTAGTCTGGTGTATCCGTAACACATTTTCTCTTGTATATATTTACACAAAACGTGTAACGCTTTCAGCCCCCTTTAGATGTTCCAGAAAGATAAATGGAAATCTCGCTTGCATGCACAATATCGAGGCGGCACAGTGGGCTGCACAACAATGAGCATTCAACAATAACTTACCCTACGGTAGGGATTTTTTTCAACTAGGAATGATAATAAACACTTGCATTTTTTTTCCAATGAGATGACATTCATATCATCAAAAGTAACGTAAGACAAATAGAACAATGCAAATAGATTCAGCTGATTCACATTATCAATCCTATGTACTGTACATACTTATATTTCAATTATTCAGCGCTGGCAATTATAATTATTATCACGGTTTACCGCTTACGTAAACCACAAGCACGTTCTTTAAAAACCAAGTTAACCGAAATCACAAAACAGTCAGCTCGCGCCGCTTGCATGCGAAAAAACAATAAAGTTTCCAGCTCGTGCACCAAAAGTGAAAAACCACAAAACTCGAGTCACTAAATGGGGTTTGCGCTGAATAGGTATTGTTACGCGACCGAAGAATCACGATATTAGCCATGCAAATACCTTTGATAAATTATGGTGCAATTTTGAATATTTCCATTAACGAAAATGGTTTATTTGTGTTTTAAAATTTCATTAAAAAATGCCTTGCTTTGAAAACATTCAATTTCTTCTACAAGGCTTCAACTGATTGCAAAGTTTAAAAAAGGCAACCGCGATATATACATACTATATTGATTTTTGAAAAATATTTTCCAGATCCCTCTTGTCAAGATACCCTTCCTGCGGCCTTAGAAGCAGTATTAGAAAGAACTCAGGATTTCACTGACAGTGCCTATACAAGCCATGAACATAGGGAAGCTATTTTAGAAGCAAGTGAAAGACTCAAAGCTGAACTAGACCATCTTTTAGGACTATATGCCAATGTGGTGAATATAACTAATTAATTAATCGCAGCGTAGTGTCTAGTTTAGAAAATACCTTCTATTCTATTTGTCTAGGTCCAGAATGATTTCGATATGGCAGCGAATTCTCCCGAAATGGAAGAGTCCGTGCAGGCTTGTATAAATTCAGCTCGTGATCTTTCCCGGCATTTGGCAAACGCAGCCATCCATCAGGCTCAGGATTTGAACACCGCTACAAAACAGGGCCTGGAGATGGTCGCAGCGATTCGACAACAGGCTATTTCCGGCGATATCGACAGATTGAATCATACCTCTGATCGGTTTCAGGATTCTATCGATCATATTTTGGAGGTAAAGAAACTATGCAGACTTCTATCAATTTTGTATCTACGACGTAAAATATATGCTGATTAAAATTTTAAGTCTTATAAATGCGAACAAATAATAATTTTCCATTAAACCTATAAAATAAGCGCTGCAGCCGAGAAATAATCTGTCTGTCTATTTTACCAAATGCTCCTAAAGCGATTTGAAGCGAATTTCCATTATTCACTCATGTATCTGGATTTATTGGCTTAATTCCTGGATTAGGCGCAGAGCGAAGCGCCAAAGCTGAATGCACATCTATATAACTTGAATGATTTAAAATTTGTTATTCGAAACCCCAAACGCGTTCATCAAATTAGATTGCTAAAAAGTTTTTAATGGTGCTGTAACGCCCCTCTTTATTAAACCATCATCTGTATTTGAAACCATATATTTCAGGTCTGCAAACTTTTGCGTCACGTAGCGGTTTCCGAGACACTTCAAGTGTCGGCGAAATTTACCGAGATAAATTTACGAGTATATGGACCTCAAGTGGTGACGGCTTCGAAAACAGTTTCCTCGCATCCCGGAAGTAAAATTTCCCAGGAAAATCTTGAAGTTTTTGCCGAGATGTATCAGTGGCTCGTTTCAGACGTTACGACGATAGTCAAGGACGTTTTAGATGCTAGCCAAGCCAAACCCGAAAAACAAGTTTATATGTCATTGCCTAGACCTGGGGTGAGTTTGAATTAATTTTAAAATATAATAATCTAGAGTTTCACTTCGACCCAACATTAGTATTTATATTACCATGTACAATAATAATTATTGGTAAAGTATGTATCCGTTGATGATGTGCTCTACTATTCTGAGTGTGTAGGAGTGACCTGCTCTGAAATAAACTGAATAAATGCAACAGATTAGTGGGATTGCTTTATCCATTACTTAACAAGGACAGTAAACTAACTCTAAAAAACAAACTATTACTGTACAAACAAGTCATCAGACCTTCATTACTTCACGGTGCAACAGTTTTTTCACAGACAACACGTCAAAATGAAAAGAAACTGCAGGTGTTTCAAAAAAAGGTAATCGGTAGGATGGTCGGCGCTCCGTGGTATGTCCGCAATGCGGACCTACATACGGACTTGAGCGTTGATACAATCCAGGAGTACCTTGTTGAGAAACATACGCAAACCCTGACAGGACTATTTTCAAAAATCTAAAAGCTCCACTTCTCTTATAGTGAATGAAATCCCCTTACCTCCTTTCCTATCCTTTCCCCACTCCCCTCCCTTTCCTTGAACAAAAATTGACATAAAACACAACACATGGCAATGAGTAGACTCACCCAAAATTGCGTAAGAGCGCTGTCACACTAACGTAGGATTAAACTCCAAAGAAAAAGGGTTTACCAGTTCTAGTGGGAGAATTCAAAATTCCATTCGGTATTGGACGTGGACGAAGATGATATCTATTTCTTCTGTAAATACCACCATCCTTAGACTGGACAACGTAACTTCTGGAATTTTTGTCTTCATTAACAACTTTACCAGGGACCCACTTCAGACTGTTGTATCATTACTGGTCCTTTAGATAATGGAGCGAGTGTTTTTTTGTTTTCATTGTAGTAGTGCTGATCTCGTTCTTGATTTGCATGTAACATTTCAATATGTCGTTCAGTATTAAAATTTGGTTTTAATTTGTTCCTTGAGCAAAGTAAGTCTGTTCTAAACTTTCTTCCCATTAACATTTCAGATGGTGATTCAAGAAACTTTTTGGGTATCGTGCTGACATAAAACTGTTGGAAATCTTTCCTATCAAAAGGTGGAGTGGGTGGACCATTATCTGACATTATTGTCATTGGTAAACCATGAGATGTGAAAACACTTAATAAGGCTTCAATAGTTGCAGTGGAATTTTTAAACAACGAAATCTCTTTCCTTTACTTGCATGAAATCCATGCCGATTTTCTCCCAAGGCAATTCTGGTACTTGATGCTGTTGTTAAGGTTGTTTTTCATTGGATTGTAATTTTTATACCTTTTACATTTTCTTTAGTTTAGTACAGTTTTGCGTTAAAATCGGACTTGGACTTGGTTTTGAAAGATGGCAAATTGAGAATTTTCAATTCATTAATGGCATTGTTGCCAGAAGTTGACGAGCTTCCTGCCACAATAAAATTAGTACGCAAGAAATCCACAGTGATTCCGCCCCATCACATTGGACTACTTTCGTGTAAGCCGGACAGCGACAAGTACCAAGGCGATGTGTTTATCGAACGTCGACAATCAAATAAACCAGGTGTGAATATATTTATAGTTCCAAGTTGTGTTACCTCAGCAAGTTTTTTGTATTCTTGATGTAGATAACAGCGAAGTAAAAGGAAGCATAAGCCCTTAACGTAAACACGCACCTACAAAATTTTCTATGGATGATATTCAAAAACAAGTAAATCCTAACATTGGTAAAGAAAACATAAACATTTTGCATAAAACACTTAATATGTATCGAGACTGTTTTGCGCAAAATATAAGTGAATTAGTGTGTATAAAAGATGTGGAAATGGAGATCTAAAGACGGTGAGCCTGTGACGTACAGACCTTATCGCCTTTCTATTCAAGAAAGACAATGTGTGCGTGCAATGATTGACGATTTATTGGTCAATGGCATAATTCAGGAGTCGCATTCACCATATGGAAGTCCTATAGTTTTGGTGAAAAAGAAAGATGGAGATATTAGAATGTGTGTTGATAATAGCACAATTAATGCCAAGAGCCTAAAAGACAATTACTCTATGACTAGATCTGATTATTATTTAGAGATGTTGTCGAGTCAAAAATATTTTACAACTTTGGACATGGCCAGTGGATATCATCAAATTCCGGTAGCGGCAAATTCTCTGGACAAAACCGCCTTTGTCACTCTAGATGGGCAATACGAATATTTGCGTGTGCCGTTTGGATTGGTAAATGCTCCTGCAGTTTTCCAGAGAACTGTCAATCGCATTATAAGAAGCATAGACCATATTACAGCGCTTGCTTACCTAGATGACATACTCATATCCAGTACTGACTTCGAAACGGGCCTTTCAGCATTGACGGAAATATTTGATGCATTTCGAACTTACGTAGCAACATTTAAACTAAGTAAATGCCACTTTTTCAAAACAGAGTTGGATTACTTGGGACATGAACTCACCGTTGAAGGAATACGACCCGGTAAAGCAAATACCAAGGCTGTAGAGCATTTTCCAGTACCTAGAAATGTGCACGAAGTCTGACAATTTGTAGGCCTTGCCAGTTATTTTAGGAAATACGTGCAAGGTTTTGCCCAAATAACACGCCCATTGACGATGTTAGCGAAAAAGGATGTTAATTTTCTTTGGGGAGAATAACAGAAAAAGGCGTTCCAGCTTATTAAAGAGAATTTAATAAATATGCCTATACTTGCAATATTTAACCCAAAATTGTAAACCGAACTACACACAGATGCTTCCTGTCGGAGCCTAGCAGGAATTTTACTACAATGGTTTTATGTGGAAATATAAAACCGGTTATGTAATTCAGCAGACAAACTACGCCAGAAGAGCAGAAATACCATTCATACGAACTAGAAACTCTAACCGTAGTATGTTCTCTACAAAAATTTAGAGTCTACCTTCTAGGTGCTGAGTTCAAAGTGATTACAGATTCTATATGCATTACGCACGGCTATGTCAAAACGAGATTCAATTCCCCGTATCGCAAGATGGTGGTTAGCAGTCCAAGAGTTCAATTTTACAGTGGAATATCGCCCAGGCACGAAGATGAGTCATGTGGAGGCCTTCAGCCGGAACCCAATTGAAGACAATGCTGAAACACCCGACATTGTAAATATACTTGAAGTGAACGTTTCAGAAGATAATTGGATATTATCAGCTCAATTACAGGATGCAAATCTTTGCTAGAAACTTTATCTAAAAAGCCAATTTATGCCAACGAAAAGTGGACACACAAAAGATTATAGCGTCAAAAACGAGCGGCTTTATAAAGTTACTGATCGAGGTTTACGATGGTACGTCCCAAAAATGGCTCGCCGTATCTTAGTGCAATATTACCACCATAAGCGAGGACATTTGGCAACAGACAAGACCCTTAAAGCCATTAGTGATTATTATTGTATATTGTATATAACTTGTTGTTTGGGGTGCTCGTATTACAACCCATTTAGTCCAAGAGCCGGCAATACTAACGGGTATGTGATCGTTGCAATAGATAATTTCTACATAAAATAATAGTTCATAGTAACCTTTAAACCAAATAGATGGGTGGCCTCGATTCTCATGGCCGTAAAGTTGTTTTATAAAAAAATACTTCAAGAACCATAAGCGCAACAAATAAGAAGTACCTTGCGGTGTACGGGGTTCCATCATATGCGGCAAACACTTTATTAACACAATTTCATGTTTCTTTTTTTGTCTAAAGACCTACAGCTGTATGCAAAATCCTCTTCACAGAGTCCTCTTTTAACTTTGAAAGTGACTTTGAAGGCTGTCACTTTCAAAAATTTGTATTTAGCAAGCAAAATAACGCGTGCCCTCGACTTTCAATGAGGGTTGCCATCATTTCCGGCCATCAAAATCGAGGCCACCCATCCATTTAGTTTAAAGGTAACTATGAGCTATTCTTTTATGTGAAAATTATCCATTGCAACGATCACATACCCGTTAATATTGCCGGCTCTCCTACTAATTGTAAAAGTTCCGCAGCCTATGCACACCGTTCATATTGACCACCTGGGGCCTTTTGTGAAAAGTAGTAAAGGAAATAAATACCTTATACTTGCTGTGGATGGGTTTACAAAATACCAAGGCAGTATCATCAACTAACACGGGTCCTCTGTCTAAATTTTGTGAAGAAACTTTTACTGTTTTTGAAGTACCTTAAATATGTGATAAAGGAACTTGTTATACGAGTAAAATTTTTCAAGACTACACGAAACGACTTGGAATACGGGTGGTACTGAGCGCAACAGCAACACCAAGAGCCAATGGGCAGGTTGAACGATACAACCGCACGATCCTGGCTTCCCTGTCAGCAACGGCTGACGACGAGAGGAAGTGAAATGACGTCATTGGTTCGATACGTTTCGGAATTAATTCCGCAGTGCAGAGCGTTACGGGTAGAAGCCCACATGAGCTTCTTTTCGGGTATAACCCTAAGGGAATTCACGACGTATTCCTGGCTCATGAAGTTGAACAGAACGAAAATATTGACAACGATATGAGTACCGTTATAGAAGAAGCTGCACGACGAATAACGGCTGCACAGTCGAAGCAGAAAGCGTATTACGACGCCAAACGTAAAAAGCCTATTGTGTACGACGTAGGGATGCAGGTACTCCTACGCAGGAGCGCTAATGCCAACGATGGCAAAAGTAAGAAACTGCTTCCTAAGTACATCAGTCCATACGTTGTGACTAGAGTACTTGACCACGATATGTACCTGATAAACGATTACCGGGCACACGACGAGCAAGGAAGAAGTATCGGGGTATTTGTCCTGCAGATAAGTTAACGCTTTATACTGCTACACACGACTGTAGTAGTAACGACTCAAATTCAAGAGGTTCTGACGTAGAGCTCGTGAGCGAGAGTACTTAACGAAAATTTATGCTGCAGACAAGAAGACGCTTGACTCCAAGCTAAGCACTTTTAAAGTGGTGACGGTTCAATCTTGAAATTCTGACGTAGAATTTGAGGAATGAATGGAAGTTTGTTTTAACAGAGAAGTCCAGGGCTTCATCATTTGAGTTCTGATGTAGAAATTGAATGGTGGATCTACTTTAGGATTTATCTCCTTTTTGGTTGAGCAATGTATATCAGTATGTAACAAAACAGCTAGTGTCTGTTATACATTTTGTGATACATTGGAGAGTTCTCCTGCTGTCCAAATTTCAAATACCGTAACGCTATTTGACAAGTATGACAGTTCTTACGGTATTAGCGTTAGCGGAGCCCGTTACCTAACGGGACTTAGCCACTGATCTCAAAAATAAATGGATAAGCAAAGAACGCTTCTAATGCTGCTAATTTACGAGGTCATAATCTAAACAAAAACAACTGACTGGGACAGCGGTGAGCGTGCGCAGTAGATACATGTACTGTGCGTGCACAAAATCTGACCAATGAAAATGAAGGAATTTCAAAATTTAGAACAGTTGTTCGAAAGATAAGGCAATGCGCAGGCGTTAGGCTGTTCCGTTGCACAACTGTTCGTAGAATATTGACCCCCAAATTTTCGCACAAATTTTGCCAATCAAGCCGTATGATTGTTTATCCATTTATTTTTTAGATCAGCGGATGCCCTACCGTAACGCTATGTTATGTCAAAATTAGTTTACGCTCCATTTACGTCTGCAAGAACAGCAACTTCTAATAATTCCTCCATAGAAAACATTTAGAAAAATTAATGGAACTCAGAATCTTCAGGATAAATAAAAGTTAGAAAATAAGCGAAAAAAAAGTTAGGTTAGCTGTCAGAATGTAAACAGAATAAGGGCCTAGAGGATTTTTGTGTCTTCGTGTCCGAGAACTATAAAATACCATGTAAAATACCGTATTGTTAGCGGTAATACCGTATTAGCGTAGCGTCTGAGGCACGAGAACTTTCTATTGCGTAAATCGACATCTGGTAATTGAACGTTTTTGTCAACAGGTATAACGAGTAATTTCCGAGGACGGAAAATATGGTAGCAACGGCCGACTGTAAGAACGCAATTCAAGATGTTCTGTGAAGATGCCCTTGAAGTCTGACATCATGTCATTGTTCGGGCAGGTAGTGACGTTTTGTCAAAAAGGCCTATGAAGTTAAAAACATCAAGTCTGTGTTATCAAGGGGTACCTGACAGTCAGGCCTGTAGCTAGAGGGGGGCCAGAGTGGGCAATGCCCACTCTGAAAGAAAAAGTTGCCCAGTCTAGAGTAGACTAGAAAAAAACATATATAATATAGGAAAAAAAAACATAAAATCACAAAGCAAATTATGTGATTTAATTTCTGTTTTCCCGGATAATATTATCAATGCTTTTATAAACTCCAATTATTTTGAAAAAGTTTACGCCTATTTACTGCGACCGGACCGTTTATAAAACCACAGTTTAGTTCATATTTTACCTTAAGATGGGTGGCATTAATGACATTTGAAATCTGTTACTTCTGTGCTCTTATTGGTTGATTTTTTAAAATTCGTCTGCAAAGTGAAAAAAAAAATTAAAACAGAATTGGCTCAAAATTGGCATTTAACATTGTTTGATCTACAGTCCGAATATTTCGGTTTTTCGATATTTTGCGAGATTTTAGAAATAATCCATAACGACTATAGGCAACCAGGGCTGGGACTCTGTAATGGATAGAGATCGTTATCCCTATCGCTATATGGTACTTGCTATTTTCTTCTCTCTCTTGGAAATCAATAGAGAGGGTACATCAATAGGGAAAAAATCTCTATTCGTTAGAGAGTCAAAGAGTCCTAGTTCAGATATACACTTTCCATTTCGAGAAAAGGCAAATTATCGAAAAACTAAAATATTCGGATTGTACATAATCCATCAAAGAATATTTATGCCACTTTTGAGTCAATTCTAATGTCAGTTTTTCTTTCTCTTTGCAGACGAATTTTAAAAAATCCACATAGTAGGTACTGACAGATTTCAATGTCATTAGCGCCCCTTCAAGGGCGCTCTTATGTATTTTTATTATTTCTTTGTTTTTTGTTAAGCTTTTATATTTCATAATCAGTTATTATGTACTTTGGAAAGTAAAGTTTTTGCACCTTGTCCGTGATTTTAAGTAATGCTGAAAAAAAACAAAAATAAGTTTGCCCCCTCTAAATTTTCGGTTGCCCCCTCTGGAATCAAAACCTGGCTACAGGCCTGCTGACAGTACCTGAGCAACGAGAAAATGTTTGTAGGCAGTTGTTTCTCTGGGTTGTTCTCTCTATGGTTGTTCTGGAGAAATCACCTATTACGAGCGAACGCTACCATTTATTTTCGATTCTCATTATTTCTTATACCTTTTACATTTTCTTTAGTTTAGTACAGTTTTGCGTTAAAATCAGACTATTATTTTTCATTATCGTTATAGGATTTTGAGTATTTTAAACAGGTGAAACAAAAACACTGAATCTTGAGCTTTTTTCTGACATAAAATAATCCCTTCATGGACAGAATGTATACTATTTAATACATCTAGTGCCAGTACTTTTGCTCTCATTTGAAAGCCGTTAAAAATAATCAGGGGTTAGAATGTGCTCTAACCACATCATACTTATAGACCTTGGCCCATGCAAAACTTTGACAGCGTATAAAATTCGTTAAGCGAAAGCAAAAGTATCGGCCCTTGATCTATGATTTTTTGGTATTATTATCTATTACCTTTAAATAAGAATCCATCCTTTTCAAAAATTTCATCCTTATATTGGTAATATGGTTTTGCTTCTTGTTTAACTGAAGACATTCGATTGGACCATTTATTTCTTAAATAATATTTTACTGCAACAAGTTCTGGATCTGCATTAGTACTTTCTAGTATATTATTGCATGTTTTATCTGAAGCCATTATGATTGTTCTAACTTGAAAATCATCTAGAAAATCTGTTGCTTTTTCAGCATTTAGTCGTGTTCTTGATAAAGTATCTGGAATAAACATATCTTTTCCAGGTAAATATTTTAAGGTAAAATCATATTTCAATAATCTTATTGTCAGTCTTTGCAATCTCGGAGATAAAGAGTCAATTGCCTTATTCACTATTCCCGAAAGAGGTTTATGGTCAGTTATAGCATTAAATGGACGACCATACAGGTAATAATGAAAATGTTCACATCCCAAAACAATACTCAATAACTCTTTTTCTATTTGCGCATAATTTCTCTGAGCAGAATTAAGTGACAGACCAATCTGCAATAGGGTGATCAATCTGACTAATGTAGCCACCTAAACCATATTGACTAGCATCAGTTGATAAAATTATTGGTTGAGAAGGGTCGTAATAAGTCAAAACTGGAGCATTACTTATTAATTGTTTTAAGCGGACAAATGCTTTTTCTTGTGGGTTATCGTCCCAAGTCCAAACTGTATTTTTTTTTTTAAATGATAATCTAAGTGAAGCAGTTTCTTCTGAAACATTTTTAATTAAACGGCTCAAATAATTAATTATTCCCAGAAAACTCTGCAACTCCTTTAAATTTGTTGGCCTTTTCATATTCTGTATAGCTTGAACTTTTTCATGGGGAACTTCAATTCTTTTATCAGTTAAAGTATTTCCCAAAAAAGATACTTCTGTTTTAGCTAATTGCAATTTTTTTTTTTCAAATTTATTTTTTGCTCTGATAAGAAGATTTTCTAATCGGTTATTATGCTCTTCTAGTGTATTGCCAAAAATATGAATATCATCCATATATGCCAAAATTCCATCCAAACCACAAACCAAATCATTTATAAATGCTTGAAAAATTTCTGGTGCATTCGATAATCCATATGGTAGTCTGTTGAATTTGTAACGACTAAAAGGTGTTATAAAAGAAGATAGGTCCGAACTATCTTCATCTAATGGTATCTGCCAAAAAGCACATGAAGCATCTAGCACTGAAAACTATTTGGCCTGGCCAATTAAAAAAAAATAGAATCAATGGTAGGTAGTTCAAGTCTTTGTCGTATGATATATATGATATTTTTTGTTATTTGTTCAGAGGTCTTGGGTCCATACATAAACGAACTGAACCATCTTTCTTCTCAGTTACAAGTGCATTCAGCAATCCTGTTGCTTTTTCTAATTTTGTAACTATTTCGTCTTTTTCCATTTGATCAATATCCTTCTTTACTTGATCGTGCAATGCTAAAGGAAGTTTACGGCATCTGGCATATTTTTTTTATAGTTTGATTGAAGTCTAATTTTACATTGATTTTTAATGCAACCTATGCCTTTAGAAACGCCATCAATTTTTCAATTTCAATTATTTTTAGAGCAGAATTTTTGTCTTCCTTCATATTTTCTATGCACGATACACGATACTCTTTTCATTAGATTAAGTTGCATACAACTATTCAATCCTAGTATAGGCTCATAATTTTCTTCTAAAATATAAAAATCAAAATCCATTTTAACATCGTTAAACCTGGCTGATAATCTGCAGACCCCTAAAACATTCAGTTTCTTTTTATTGTATACTAATAACGATTTATTATTTTTCTTTATTGCAGGTTTATTATTCAACTTATTAAATGTTATAATTATAAATATTATAGGCAATATATTAGCTTCACTCCCAGAATCTAGTCCAAATTCCATAAAAAAGGTTTCATTTATACATACTTTCTCTGTCCAGTCCTTGACAGATTTTGCTTCAATTTCGGCAATATTAAAAAAATATTTTTCAGTTATAATATCTAGTACTAACACCTCTTTATATTCTTGCTCATCCTTATCTATTTGAGATTTTTGCTCTTCTTGATTTTCATTATTCTTTTCCTTAACTTCATATAATTTCTTTACTTTGCAACATGAAGAAAAATGATTTCGGTTTTTGCATTTACCGCATATTTTTCCCCAAGCTGGACAGTTGCCAAAATCATGGGAAGAATTGCAACGATAACATTTTTTGTCATTTGTTAAATATTTTTTGAAGTTTGGATCCTTAGCTTCGTATTTGTTAAATATATTCAACCTGTCAATCCCTGAATTATCACTATTTGATGAAGTACCAGACATAGCTCTAACTTGTTTTCGTGATCCTTCATCTGCCCTGCAAATATCAATACATTTAGATAAATCGAGATCCCTCATACTAAGCAACTTCTCTCGAAAAATATCATTTGTTATGCCACATACAATTCCCTAATAAATAAATTCTTCAAATTAAAAAGTAAAATATTCATCATTTGATTGGTTTTCTTATTGATTACAAGAGAAAAGTAAAAACTCAGTATACGTTTCATTTTTATATGGAATGAAATAGTTCGTTAGTTTATTCAAAATTACTTCTAAAGTAAGCTCATCATCTTTTTCAGCAAAGGATAATGTGTTATATATTTCTAGTCCATAATCATCCAAGAGATGTAACAATATAGCTCTTTGTTTTTCTACCTTAGCTTTTTCAATATCAGCAGCTACCCAATAGAACTCCATTTTTTGTCTACATTTATTCCATGATAATGCCTGATCGGACTCTGGTTAAAATGATTTTGGTGCTTGCAAATTTGCCATTTCAATTGACTTTATTATACCAAATTCTTTACTCGTTTCCGCTGCCACCATATAACATTATTAATTATATAACACAGACCTTTGACGGTTTTCTGAATTTCTTGGGAAGGTATCTGATTTCTGGTATGGCGTTGCATTACCAGTTCACGTAGTTTGTCTGTCTTATTTAGGCGGACTTTGAGCTTGAAAGTATCAGCTAAAGATTTGTCTCTATCAGAGTAAACCATCTCATTTTTTTTTTTTTTTTTTTTTTTTTTTTACGGATATGCGCACTCGCAAGGAAATGTCCTATCACGCTCGAGAAGCGGCAAGTGCGCGGAAATGTCGGTGTATGTTGGTCTTGAAACGGTTCAGGTTGTAACCTGCAGGGAAAACCGTCGCAGGGAGTTTATTCCACAGCGATGCTGTTCTCCAGAGATATGAATTCTGATATAATGAGGTTCTTGGTGCCTCTAGTTTGACAGTAAATTCATGGTTGCCGTCTGCTTGACGGGTTCGCCTGGTAGGTGCTACTCTCGGTGGAATCATACGTGCCAACTCTTCAGAGCATTTTCCGTGATAGTACCTGTAGAAGAGAGATAAATCGCCCACAGATCTGCGATGTTCGAGACCATCCAAGTTACGAGTAAGTGCGGGGTCATTGATCAGCTTGATAGCTCGTTTTTGCACGGTATTCAAAAGCATTAAGGTATGTTTGGGTGCTGCACTCCATATATGTGAGCAGTACTCCATAGTTGGTCGAATCTGGGCTTTGTAGAGTGTCAGCAATTGGCTTGGTGTGTACAGATGTCTTGTACGAAATAGCACCCCCAGCTTTTGGGAGGCCCTTTTAGCAATATCTGCCACGTGACTGTGCCAAGACATGTTGGTCTCTGCCGTAACCCCCAAGATGTTCAACTGACTCTGTAATGTGACAGCACTTCCAGATAGCATGATGTTTGGCTCACCGGTGCTGGTCTTTTTTGAAAACAGAGCTGCTTGGGTTTTCTGCGCGTTGAACTGTACAAGGTTTTTGTTACCCCAGTCCTCTATTATCTCCAGGTCGTTATTTATCTGCGATATTTGAGTTAGTCTAAGATGATGGAATTCACGTGCGGAAAGACCTGTGGGTGGTATGAGTGAGGAGACTACATTGCCATCGTCTGCAAAGCAATAAAGTGGATTTACTGTTTTATCTATGAGGTCATTTATGTAAATCAGGAAAAGAGTTGGCGAAAGGATTGCTCCCTGTGGCACACCAGCATTTATTTGGTAAGAGTTGGAGTTCTGGCCATCCAGTGCAACATAAATGGATCTGTCCTTTAGGTAACTTTCAAACCAAGTGCAAAGTTTCGGCGATAATCCCATTGCTTTGAGCTTGTTGAGCAGATTTTCATGCCAAACTTTGTCGAATGCTTTAGATATATCTAAGGCAATTGTTCTTGTTTCACCCCGCAACTCAATCGCTTTTTGCCATAAGTGAGTGACGTATGTAAGTAAATCGCCAGTTGACCTATATTTTCGAAATCCGTATTGCTTATCGTTGATAATTTTGTACTTTTCCAAGTACTTGGTTAGGTGATTGTTCACAACTCTTTCCATTACTTTTGATATCACCGGAAGTAGAGCAATTGGTCTATAGTTTAACGGATCTGTCTTTTTTCCTTTCTTTGGAATGGGTTGTACTGCGGCAGACTTCCATGATGATGGATATACTCCTTGCCTGTAAGACAAATTGAATAATTTTGCGAAAGTTGGGGTGAGTTCGTTGGCGCAATTTTTGAGTACTATTGCGGGAATGCCATCCGGACCCATTGCTTTGTTTGTATCCAGCTGTTTTAGGGATTTTCGTATTTCTCTGTGACAAAAGGGTACCTCTGGCATACTATGGGAAACCCTTTCAATGAATTCCTCTGATGTTGTGGCTAAGTGATTATTTTTATCTGTAAGTGGTGGTATGGATGACTTGGTGAAGTTAGATCCAACAGCTTTTGCAAGAGACCAAAAAGACCTAGAACTACTTGGACAATTCAGCAACCTGTTTTTTATTCTTTGATTGTATGTTTCTTTAGCGGAGTCAATAGTAATTTTGCAACTATTTCTGGCTTCTATAAATTCTGTGTGGTTTTGAGCCGTTTGTTGTCGTTTCCAAAGGTTATATGCTCTGTGTTTTTTCTGTACAGCCGTTTGACACTGGATGTTGAACCAAGGTTTTGCATTAGCTCTACGTTTAGTTGTATGTGGGATATATGCGTCCATTCCAGATAAGATTACTTGTGTTATTTCATTACAGCAAATAGTGGGATCAGCTGTTTTAAAGCAAACCTCTTGCCATGGAAAATCCAGGTAATACTGTTTTAGGTCATTCCATTTTGCCGATTTATAGTGCCACATTTTATGAGGAAGTGGTTGTAGGCTTGGTGGGATGAGCATTTCGCACGTTGTTATTATAAGTTTATGATCGGACGAACCAAGTGGAGCATCTACTTGAATTGTGTACGAGTCAGGATTGGTGGTTAGGAACAAGTCTAAAAGCGCTGCAAATTCGCCCCTTTCTGAGATACGGGTAGGTTCATCGACAAGCTGCGTTAGACCACAACTTATGGCAAAAGCTTCTGCTTCTCTGCCTTCGTAATCTGTTTTGTTGTGGTGTTTCAGCCAGGGTATATTGTGGACGTTGAAATCGCCTAAAAAGACAATTTCCGCCTGTGGATAGTTTGACTGTATACTATCACAGCTTTCGGATAATGTCGCGAAAAAGTTTTGGTAATCGGTGTTACTTGGCGGTCGGTAGAGGCAGCAGATAAACTTGGTCGATGACTTTGAGGTGAATTTTAGCCATATGATATCAAGGTTCGCTGGTTCTAGCTTCTCCTCTCGATGACATGAAAGGTCATTTTTAATGTACACACAGATCCCAAAATTATGTCGAAATCGGTGGTGTAGGTCATAGCCGGGATAAAGATAGTTCACAATAGGTGTTGCAGAACTGATTTTAGTTTCAGTGAGAACAAGGATGTCAGGTCTTTGTTCTCATTGTCCATTGAGCCTGTGTGCTATGGCGGAAAAGATGATTTCTACTTAGATACATCTGCTATTCTTTTGCGTCTTCCGTTTCTGACGTCTTGCTTATTTTGATATATTTATTCAAATTCACAATATTTATTGATACTTCTGTGTATTTAGAAACATGGTACTACGTCCAAACCTGTTAAGGCTGTGCGATTAGATACAGAAGAGCAAGAGAAAATTGCCAAATCCGGATTGGAGATGAAGCTAGCTACTAGTGAAATGGACGCAGAAACCGAAAAATGGCAGGAAAATAATAGCGCGCAAATGGATGTAAGCTTTATTTTAAATTCTTATATTAGATATAGTGAGATTTTTAGAATTTCTTACTTTTACTCTACTGAGGAAGCAGGTCTTAAATTTTGTAAAAGTATACAGCGCTGATTGTTATGACACTTGCTGGATATAGTAATTTAAAAAACAAAACACAGAACATTTTATTTTATTTTCTAATATGAAACTATATTATCCACATTGTCAATAATTTTGATCGACCTTTTGTAGCTTCAAGAGACGGTAGTTAACCGAGAAATTTAGACAAACGATTGATAAAATAAGCTCGTTCGATTCAGTGACTGGAATGATCAATTCTGGGCTCTGGATTTATTGAAATTCATGGAACAATACTCGCTCTCCAATGATTACTTAATGAACTTATTTTATAGGATTATTGGCAGTAGGACTGCGACCATATTTTTTGTTTTCTGTAAATTGCATCATTAATAATTTATAACTTCACGACTATAAATGTTATTGAAATTTCATGGGAGAAAGTTGAAATTTTAAAATAATAGTCCTAGTCGGTGAAAATGATCTATTTTCAGGAAAACAATGATATAGTTAAGAGAGCAAAAAACATGTCTTCCATGGCGTTTTCCATGTATCAATTTACAAAAGGAGAAGGTCCCCTGAAAACTACCCAAGATCTTTTTACTCAAGCAGAATACTTTGCAGAAGAGGCCAATAGATTGTATAAAGTAATCAGACAGTTTAGTTATCAGGTAGGTAACACTTTTTAAACTAATAATATTTATAACTTAGCTTACGAAATCATTCTTAAGGTTCCTGGTGGTGCCCAAAAAAAAGAACTTCTAGAAAATCTGGACAAAGTCCCCACATTCGTTCAGAGACTACAGTTTACCGTCAAAGATCATACCGTAGGCAAAGCGGCAACTTTCACTAAAGTAGACAACGTCATTCAAGAAACAAAGAATTTAATGAACGTAATATCAAAGGTTGTGACTGTTTGCTTCGAGTGCGCAACCAAGGTGGGTCATTATTTTTCTATTGAATGCATTTTATACCTAGATATGCTCTATCTGTTACACTCTACTTTTATAACACACTTTATCCATTTTAAAATACACTTTTTACCTTCCTCATAGTCTCTTTTTCTGTCTCTTTTTTTGTGCTATTTTCATTATTATCTGTTTTATCTTTAGTTCAATATCACATTACCACAAAGAGTTACTGTACCTTGTAATGAGTCGATCGGTGGACTATTACCAAAGCAATTAAGTCCCCAGGCCTTGCATAGACTTATAAATGACAGAAAGGGTGTACGGACATTACCCCGATGATATTAGATTTTTGGTAAAAATGTGTTTGAACTAATCAAAATTTAACACCTTGTGTTGCAGAGTGATCTATGCTACGAGTTTTTTAATTATTTTTATTGCGATTGCTCAATATTCTAATAAGAAAAACTAATTGTGGTTATGTATGCTCAAAGATATCCAGAAATTCATTTTTCTGAATGTTGATACATTTGGCTTGCATTTTATTTTAGATTTACTATTCATATTTTTTCTCACTTTGTCATTTTTCTCAATGTCTTTCTTCTCTCTGTACTACTAGTTCAAGTTTTTTTTTTTTTTGATAAGTAATGAGAACTTTTTTAATATGGCATGGTTCATACGTAGCCAGCTAACTTAGCAACCCTTCTTCAGCTACCTAGTAATAATCATAAAATATAGCTAGAATGGGCACTTGAACTTTTTAATATTTTTATAGGAATGATGGCATTGGCGAATGGAATTTAGATTTTTGACAAATGTTTTTGATTATAATACTTAACTAATTATAAAAATTTGAAATGTGTTTTGTAAATCGACCTAAAATTGCTAACCGATATTGAAGTTCTAGACCATCTCCTCAAAAAATGGACTTAAGGAAGACCAGCATTAAGCAACGTTTAATAGTAGCAAATTGAAGGAGGTAAATGTTTGTATGTATGTATGTGTTGGAGGTGTCAGTTGCACTGCGACTAAGATTGATCTATTGTAACTCACCTTCTGCTGCTAAGTTCAGGGTTCCTGCTCAAAGCAGCCTCTCTAGTCCTAGGTCAGTTAGGCATTTTAGGTTATCTAGCGGTTCCAGGGCTGGAATGTCTTCTTACTGTATAAGAGGACTTCCCAGGTTCTTCATCATTGAGCCACTAATCGGAATCGCAGTTCAGTAGAATACGGTGAGGTGTATTATCTCCGTCTTCACAGAACCTGCAGGTGCCACCTTCTTCCAACCCCAATTTCTGTAGGTGTTTCTTAAGTCTGCAAATTCCCGAGAGAAGCCCGGTTAGAGTCTTGAGACTTTTCCCTATAAATATTTGGCCTGTCGTAGTCTTGGCTGTTTTAGCCATTGTTTGTTCCTTAGCCGGTTCTCTTCCTTTTTGAGGATTTATTGGAGCGCATATCCGACGCCGCAAAATGGTTCTGGCCCAGTGAAGGGAGTAGACCCTCCCGTTCTTGCGAGTCTGCCTGCGAATTTGTTGCCCTCGACCTCTATGTGTCCAGGCGCCTAGAGGAGGAGTTGCTTTTTCTCTTTTCCCAGGTCATTGAGTTTCTGTAGATATTCCCATACTATCTTAGAATTGATGACCGGGGAGCTTAATGCTTTGATAGCTGCTTGGCTGTCACACATCATTACAATCTCTCGTTTTCGGTACCTTCTGCTGAGGTTGAACTACACGCATCTTCCGATCGCATGAAGTTCCGCTTGAGATATGCTTGGTGATTTTCTCATTAGCTCCGAGTATCTGGTCCGTGGTCCGAATAATCCGGCTCCAGTTCCCTCAGCAGTTTTGGAACCATCTGTGTACAATTTGATACAGTTTGCTTTAAGGGATTGAATAGATTTTATGTTCCATCGGTTTTTTGTACCTAGACCGAAGGAATGTTTTCCCCGAAGCTGAGTGCTGCGGTTGGGCATGATCTCATTGCTCATGTTATACAGAGACACGCGAGTCTTCACACTTTTCCAAGGTGTTCCTAGCTGTTACTATCTGGATTCGGCTATACCAGGCTACCGCTCCGTAGGTGATGATAGGTCTTACTACATCCATCGTAAGATTGATGGGTTACAACCGCACGTTTTAACCGCAATGTTTTTGCAGACCATGAGTACCGAGATTGCTATGTTTTTTATGTTCTCTACATGTCGGTTCCAGAGACGTTTAGAATCTAGGGTTGTTCCTAGGAATGTAACTTCTTGTTTCCAGTTAACCTCCCATTGAGGCGAATGTTTCTCAGGTTTGGGAGATTCGTTCTTTTTGTAAATGTTACCAGTGTGGTATTTGCTGAGTTTAGTTTCAGCCCCACTGTCTGACATCATGTCTTCCTGGTTTAAATTGCTTTTTCTATAAGGTCGCAGAATATTCCTTCGTCTCTGGCCATGATGAGGATATCGGCATCGGCGTATCCAAAGCCAGGGTAGCCCTGATCGGTTAGTGTATTTAGGAGATCATCAACCACTAGCTTCCACATCAAAGGTGGACAACTTCTAGTTGTGGTGACTTGTATGGTTTGTTCACCCATGTCAGTTTCTGCAGCTCTGGTGGCTAGCGTTCCGCATATCCAGGTGGATGTCGTTTTGTCCACTCCTTTCTTGACGAGCTCATTCTTTATTGACTCATGAGAGGTGTTATCAAATGCCTCCTCTATGTCTAAGAAAACGTAGATGGCTATTTCTTTATTCTGCAATGTGTTTTGGATGGTATCAGTGAGTTCAAATAAAGCGTTTTCTGTTGATCTGCCCGCTCTGTAAGCATGTTGCCCAGGTTTTAGTGACGTCTTTTCTAGAACACTTGTTCTGATGTAGTTATTTACAACTTTCTCAGCTATTTCCAGTGAGAACGACGTGACATGTAGATCTGAACGACTTTGGAAGAGTGGCGTCCCTTTTCCCTGCCTTTGTGATGAAAGTTACTTTAGCTTTTCTCCATTGACTGGGTATGTATGTAGACGTTAAACTGTATCTAGTGAGTTTGATTAGATACGGCATGATTTTTTCAACAGGGGCTGGAAAAATGCCGTCAACTCCAGGTGACCTCTAACGATTGAGACGAGTTATTCGCTCAAGTAAGCCACTGAGGAGTGCAAAGGTTGTTGGCAACCTCACAGTTCTCTTGCCTGGTTTTCCTGGGCCGTCCTTTGTTTTCTTCAGTATCATTGGGTATACTTCCTGGAAAGTGAGTTTCCAGTAGTAGAACAGCTGGGTGCTCTTCTTTTTCTGTGTAACTACTATCTGGTTTCTTAAGTATCAATGGTCCTTGCCTTTTGCCAGGGTTTTGTATAGTCTCGCTGCTGATGGTGTTTCTGTGCTAGCTTCACAGAAATCTGAGTTTGTTGTTTGGCCAATTAAAGGAGGATATCATGTCCAACTTTTAGATCGCTTTTTTTTTCAAAACTATTCGCTCTGTATCAATGAAATAAGCATATCAATCCCGTGTATTTTTTATGGAATCCGTCTACATATGAATTTAACAAAAACCACTTAGTGTATAACAATTATTTTTAAAAAGAAACAGGCCAAAGGAAAATGACGAAACGGAAACAATATTAGATCAGCTCGAAGAAACTTAGTTATTCTATGCAAACCTGTTCAGAAACGAAAAGCCTGTAAATTTGATAAAAATATCAACTCTAAAGAAATTTCTGGCATCGTTCTAGAAGAAGTAAAGAACGCAATAAAACAAGGCCCCTGGCGAAGATATATAATATTTCCAGGAATTATCAATGATGGAACTACAAAAGGATTCTTCAATAGATGCTTAAAACATTACCTGAAGGATGGGAAAACACCACTATAATTTTCATTTATGTACAGGGTGGTCATTTTATCTTGATAACATTTCAAACTGTCATAATTTCTTTATTTTTGAAGTTATTTAAATAAATAAAAAAACCCACGGCGGCAATCCTTAACGGCTCGAGATATAAGTATGCAATTCCGTATGTCGATAGGGTTGAAAATTTTGAACAATTTTAATATAAAAACAACTGAATGGCTTTTCCGGTTTCACCGGAAATGGCATTGACTTTGTTATTTTAAATGGGACACCCTGTATATTAAGTATTATTTTTTTTGACTCCCTGGACAATTCCAAATAACTTTTGTCTGACATACCCTACGTCAAAAATTGATAGTTTTTGAAATAGAGTGGTTCAAAAATATGTCGTAATTCCTATTTGTTTGTATTTTACGTAAAACTGAGTATGCCAGAACAAAAAAAAATCATAGTTATTTGCTCTTTATTCAAAGAGGTATCCGATAAGTTGCATATTTCTATCTCGAGCCGTTAAGAAATGCCGCCATGGGTAGTAGTTTCATTGTCACCCGGTATACAATACAATATACTTAAAAACAATTTACTCTATATTTACATGCAGAAATGTTTTATTTATTCAAATAGAAAATTCTGGGCTGGGACTCTGTAACGAGTAGAGATATTTTCTCTATTTCTATTGACGTCCCCTCTCTATTGATTTCGAAAAGAGAGAAGAAGACAGCAAGTGCCATAGCGATAGGCATAACGATCTTTTTCCGTTACAGAGTTCCAGCCCAGTCTACCTACTTACCTTGGCAGGTAATCTGCGTAAGTAGTCAATATTTCCAGTTGGAATAATTGAAAGATGTCTGCATTTAAATATGGTGAAAATTGCATTCAAGTGTATTGTATTGAATATATTGCAATCAGAATGAAACATATTATCAAACAAACTAAAAATGTACTGGGTGTTCCATTTAAAAAAATGCTATTTGTGTGCATAACTGGCAATATATATTAGTCTTTTGTTTTTTGTCCACCCTATCTAAAACTTGGAAATCAACCCTACACAACATAGATTCTTTTCTTTTCTCTTGGAAGTTGACACAGATCCCCATTTTTTCAGCTATTGAAAACATCTGATATTTTTCATGGGTGAATTATTTATCAATGTCAATCTTTTAGTTAAAAGCTAGAAAATTTGAGATCATTAAAAAAAAATTCTTCATGTTAATCAATTTTTTTCTTCTGCAAATTTTCGAACGGGAGGCCGGCATTAAAATCACCCATATTCTCATCAGCTTAGTAGCCACATTCAGCCCTCAAAATGCCAGACAAAAAAAAATGACTCCACTTAACTAGGGGCTGTGTCTCACAGTCTATGAGCGAGTCAACCGCTTGTTCCAGGTCCTGAGTATTCTGGATATCCTCAGAGCTTCTTGATTTTCCAGGTGGTTGCTGAAGGTAGTCCAATTTGTGAAAGTGAACTCACTATGGCTGGAGCGGGGGCGGTCGTGAGTGTCCCTGAATTCCACT